TGTATGAGGAACTGCAACCATTTATAGATATGGGAAAAGAGTCTCAGAAAGTTCAAATTGCTTGACCAAGATTGCATAACTACATTGATTTGAATCCATATCTGTGTCTTGGGAGAGCCTGTGGCCAACATTATGAATTCTCATTTTTCCACTCTTAGAAATTGCCAGTTATCAGATGGAGTCATCTAATAGCCCTACCATCCCTGGTCACCCTTGCGCCTGACTAATACTGTCTGAAGGGAACATCGTGTGGCAAGTTCTATAAATATTCTCAAAAGGCAAATTGGTGCCTTAGTCTCTTTCATCTCTCCTTTCCTGTATCTGCTGCCTTGACCATACTGATGGGGGCCACCCTCTCGGGATGGCGAAGTGAAACATTGCCAGAACCCAGCTCTGGGAGCTTCACAAAGCAGAACCTACCAAAGGGACATAGAGGACATAGCTTTTCCACCTCTGGACTCCCACCTTCAAGGGTATGTTTTTATTCATTTATTTATTTTTGGTACTGAGGATTAAATCAGGGCCTTCATGCTGAGCTACATTCCCGTCCTCCTTTATAAAATTTAAATCTGAGACAGTATCATTAAGTCGCTAAATTATCCAGACTGAGCTAAAACTTGTGATCCTTCTGCCTCAGCCTCCCAGAGTACCAGGATTATAGTTCTTTGCCTGTTTACCTGGATTTTATAGTTCCTACATCACTGTTATAGCTGAGCCAGTTTAAGCTAATTCAAAGCTCAGTATCTTGCAGGGGAAGCTACCTATACAGGAATGGAAATGTGCAGAAGAACTAAGTATAAGTTGTTAGGTACAAGATGGCAAACGCCCGGGTTCTTACCGACTAGAGTCCTGGAATTACTTCTCTGGTGGTGTAAACCTTTGGTTCGAGCTGATCTTCTGCTGTGGAACATATATCATCTGCTGAGTACAATTATAGCTTGAAGGGGAGGGTACATGAACTCACAGTTGCGTTGTTTGGGTGTTCTGCTTTAAGCAGAAGTCACTGCAGTGAGTAGGGGCTGGAGAATAGCGCACAGGAGCATAGACCTGAGGGAATGCAGCTGTGTCCCAGGTGGCCCTTTCTACCTGCAAACTCTGACGGATGGGGTGGCAGTATGGAACCTAAAGAAATGTGGATCGTAGACGACGACCTTAGCAGAAGTAAGACTGCAGTCCCGACTCTTCCCTGTACCACCTGTTGAACATCTGCCGGACAGAAAATCCAGAATAACAGCAAACATCAAATAATGGATGCAGTACTGCATCCCCTGTGGTACACCTTGGCTTTTGATGGATTAAATGGGGAAGGGATAAAGAGGGATAGAGCGAGAGAGCGAGAGAGATCAGCAGAGCACAATTTTAAGGCTTGGGGCTTTATCTAGGCAAGATCTTTGACAGCGGTTGATTTAGTTCAGTGAGTGTGAAAAAACCAACACACTCACTGAGTTACTGGAATTGTTTGCCAAAGCAGAGACCAGACTTGGACAAGTCTGTGATTCTTCGCACCTGCAGTTTGAGACAGTACAATCTTCCAGCCTGGGGAAGGAGGTAGTCTGCAAAGCTTAAGTCTGCTGTGATTTTGGAAAATGCCAAATGGCAAAGAAACCTCCAGGTCGATGTGGGGGACAGTAGACAACAGGGCACCTCAAAAGAGCAATGCCAGGCAGGGCTGCCTGAGACAGGGAGTCCTCGTGACTCCTGCTCAGCAAGAGTGCAGCACTGTGGAGCATTTTTGTCCATTTTCTGCCTGTTTCAAAGTAGAAAGTGCTTTTCCTCTTTCCCCTGCCTTTCCTTTTCCTTTTTCCTCTTTCCTCTTCCTAAGCACAGCTTTTCTGCTTCTCAAGCATACTGCATGAGTGTGATGGGGGTAAAATGCTTTTTTTCCTTTCTGCACGTGAGACCCTGAATATTGTGATCTGATAGAAGGTGCTTAAAAAAAAAAAAAAAAAAAAAAGGAGGAGCTGACACCTTAATTTTTCAGTGCTCTCCTGGGTTCAGTCCTTGGATTTCATTTCTTCGATTCCTCTGGGGACTTGAGAGACCCTGCCATTATTCCTCAGTCAAAGCCAGATCATGTCTTATAAGAAACTCATGAAAGGACTTTCAGAACTGCTTCAGAAAGTGACAAGAACACTGGGATGAGTGCGTTCAGAGTGAGCAGATGTATTCTGAGGGGAACTGAAGGCAGGCAATGTGTTCTTCACTGTAACACAATTTTAAAAATTTCAAACAGTCTGTATATTTTGATCACACCCTGTGCCCTGCCTGGGACCAGATCAGACAGTTGTCATTTCCATCTTCACAAGCAGCCGCCTCAAGGGATGAACCTTCTTATGGGTTTGGTTCTCAATATGGTAATAAGGTTACAGAGGAGAAAAAGAGAAGGATCTTCAAAGCCACTTGCGGTTTGTGCACTGACAGCAACGGGAGATCACTTGGTAGCCAGAAGAAGTGAGCTGGAGGTACTTGGGTGGGCCCAAGGCAGAACACCGGTCTGAGAAAGCTGAAGGTGCCTAAACTACCATTCTTTCTCTCCAAAGAGTGGCTCTGTTTGGGATGTTATTAGTTTATGTTTAATGGCTCAAATTCTCAGTCATGTTTTCTCAAGTTCTGTCTCTCAGAGGTTGGAAGTAGGCCTTTCCAACCATCTCTGCCTCCAAGATCCCAAATGGCTTCATTAGACAAACCGTGACCCTCTCAGCATCAGGACTCTGAGTGGGAAGGTCAGAAATGTTTCCTTTCCTATTTGGGCATCTGCTATAAACTGAATGTTTGTGTCCTTCCCCTAGTCCCATTCACATATTGGAGCCTTAATGTCCAACGTGATAGGATTAGGAGGCAGGGCCTCTGGGAGGTAATTAGGATTAAACAAAGGCATGGAGGTGGGGCCCTCAGGATGGAATTAGTGTCCTTGTAAGGTAAAGCACTCTCTTTCTCTCCTGTTAAAAGTCCATGTGAGGGCACTGTGAGAAGCAAGCTGCCTATCAGGTAGAAAGAGGCCCCTCGTCAGAAAATAAATCATGTGGCACCTTAAGCTTGGACTTCCGGCTTCTAGAACTGTGAGAAATAAATTTCTCTTGTTTAAGCTACCTAGCCTATTGTTTTTTTCTTCTGAGATCTTAAACTCTGGCAGCATCACAGCATAACACTGCAGTTAAAAAATTTAAAAAAGAACATGGTCACACATTTGCACCCAGCCAAACTCCTTATAGCGAGGCTTCTTCTTGGTTTTTGAGTAGCTCAGGGAGACCGGAAGGCCAGGCTATGCACCCTGAAGTGAAGAGGGCTGGACGCTGGCCTTGCAGCCCTCCCTTACTTCAGGCTTGCTTAGGTGCTGAGCTCTTTGATGGTGGCTTCATTAGGACTCAGTTTCAGCTGGAAACGGGCATGAGACGCATGCTGAGAGCCTCGCTCCCCAGAGCCGTTAAATCACCTTGTTATTTATTGCTCTCTAGAATCCTCTAATTTACATGTGGTCTCTTCTCATAGGACGGCCTCAAGTAAATCCGAATCTGTTCGGACAACTTTATGGGTATTGTGAAACCACAATTGAATTTCAGGCCTTTGTAGCAGTCCAGCTGAGACGTACTCCAATTAGAAATAATTGCTGCTAATGCTGTTAGGACGCGGTGGATGCCCACTCCGCCCGACCTTTGTTCTGCTAAATTTCCTCAGAGTCTCTTTTTTATCCAACTAAATAGACAGGCCCTCAGAACATACTCTTGGAATTGCAATACAGCAGCAATATTGTGCCTGTCTCTTAATTAACCTTGTTAACCAAGGATTTGGAGCATCATTTGGGGAGTCTGAGGGCCTTTGATCCTCACGGCATACATCCACAGTCGAGTGGGGTATCTTTCTGGGAAATGAAGCGCCTGCGTTCTCTGGCATCCGCTAAATAGCTTTTTCGCTCTTTCAGTCATGATGTGATATTCTGGTTTCGTGGTGTAATAGTTGTGAAGTGCTTGGCTTGGTGGCAGGCGAAGTAAATGTTAGCTATCATTACTATCTATTATCCTTACTATTATTATAAAAGGTTTTTTAGGAAAGGAAATAGAGGAACAGAATTGTCAAAAACACACAGGCCGCTCAAGATGAATTCCATCCTCCACACCGCAAGGCCCTTATCCCTCTAAGGAAACCTTGCCCTCAAAATATTCAAAGTCCTGATTCTTTGGACTGTTATGGAGTCTTCTGGGGTACCTCTTGTCTCAAGAGAGGAGGGGACAAAAAGGCTGCTGTTTCTCCTCGCAGGGCAGATGCCCGGACCAGCCCGGGCGGAAGTTCTAGGGGTGTGGTAATTAACACATTTTTCTCAGTCGTGCTTCTGTAGGTAATCTCCCAGCCATCAAAGCAGTTTGCACGTTGATTAAACTGTAAGAGCCCAACAGTTCTGAGGTGAGGGCCGCACTGGTGAAGGTAAACATGTAAAAATGTTCATTCCGGGGAAAATACAGGGACAGGAGCCCCGACTTGAATGGTAAGTTCGATGCTTAATCTGACCATATGAATACAGCTTTTGGATCCACTGGTGCCAGTAAATGAAGTCAGAATTTCATTTTCAGAGTGAGAAGCAGCCGTTCTGATCTCTTTCAGGAAACACGTGACTTGGAGTGTTTCAGTCTGAGATCACCACTCAGGTGAAGGTGAGTGTCCTTCAGGAAAGGCTCATACAAGTCCCTCCTACAGTGGGACCTGATGGGCCTTCAGCTGGACAACTGGCACATGGTGAGCATCCAGGGCCTGAACAGCCAGAGTGAAACTGCTTCGGGAGGGAGGGCCCAGGCACAGGCCTTTTCTATGCTCCATGACCTGGGTTTAGAAAGGACAAAGTGGAGGGCAGGGTGACGCAGAATCCAGAGCTTTGGTGTGCTCTGGAGGGAGAGCACCGGGTCGCCACATTCCTGACACTCTCCCCAGACCCTCACATCCCACAGAGGCAGCCATGGCCACTCGTCCACGGGGTTCCCCTCCACAATGACCAGAGTCAGGGCAGCCCATGAGAGAAACATCTTTTTATTATTTCTGTGGCAAATGGCAATGGCAAAATGGGGCATCTTCATTTTTTTTTTTTTTTAAACAAAGAAACTACAACAACAAAACCCAAACTCAACAGCAAAAGGAGAAAGCAACGTCATCTGCAGACACCGGCTGGAAATTCTAGTGCAAGTAGCGGATCAGAAATAGCACTTGTCTCCAAACATACTCCATTATTAGACAAAAATCCTTTTCTTCTTTGAGCGGATCATGATGTAGTTCTGGGTATCAGGTGGCATCAGCCACAGAGCTGGTCTTCAGGCATTCTTCTTTTGCCCAGTGAAGCCATCCATGACATTAAAGATGCCCATATAGTCAGCGATAAGCAGCCCTGTCTTGATGGGCAGGACGCTAAAGAGAAGACAAAACAGAGTAACTTTCTTGGTTATTATCTGTGAAAGCATCTTTACCAGCCTAGCTGAAACCTGTCGCCTCATGTCACGGGTGAAGCCATTGACTCATGCACACATTATGCGGTCCCAGTGCTGCCTGCCTCAGGGTGGCTGGGCTTTGTCCACTGTGTGGGGTTCACCTGCTCAGGGTCTCTACCCGCTCCTGGTCTTACTTAGGTTACTCAATTCACTTCTCATGTCAGTTTCCTAAGCACCATCCTGGGTAACAACTCAGAGGAAGCAGGGAAGTCTCCAGTGGGGCTGGGTTCCCAAAAGGGAATCTGAGAGTGGAGATTAGAGCGCTGCCTTATAACTTCCACTCGGAGATTCCCCTCTCTGATTTTATATTTCTTGGTAGCACAATGTCCCCTCTTGTACCTTTTCTTCTTTTATTTTTAGTGTTTCTTCCTTCCCACGCACCCCTTCCCCCCACCCCAAAGAAGACAGTTGCCACAACGCAACAAATTTCTGTGCGTCTTGTTCTTTCCTGTACCCTTAGGTCTTGGACGATGCGTGACGCACATATAGCACTCTCTAAATGTGGTTGGAAAAGTGTCTGAAAGAAGGTCTGATGTACTCCCCTTTATGCAGCCCCTCTGGGCTTCCTCTAGTTCTCAGGTAGCCCTGGATTTCAAACTGCTTGTCAAGGATCACTTGCCCTTCCTCACACAGGCTGCGTCAGCCACACTGACGGTCTCGCTTATGTGACATGGGGTCTGGAGAAGGTGTAACAGTGGTGGCAAGTCTACGGCAAGCGTGCCATTGCGGGGTGTCTGTTATCACTGAAAGCTCTAAAAGGTTCACCGTTTCTGATATAGGATGCAAGAATGGGTTCTGGTTCATCGCACAAAGTAGATACAATTCACCAATGAGAAAAATTTCCGAGCACAAGATATGCATGTAGTGAAGATGAGGTATAACACCTTGTTCAAATACTTGAAGAACTGTCACTATGAAGAGGAGTGAAATTGCACAGAGAGCCTGTGGGCACAGTGAGAGCTAACAAGAAACATATCCCGTTTCCACTCAGCAGAGGAGGCTCCATAGCGGCATGTGCTTCCTTGCGAGGAGACACCCTTGTGAGGTGTGTTACATGATGAGCACAAGACAAGCATCTGTCTTCAAAGGCATTGCGATCTGCTCCTGGAGAGTTCAGTAACCACCTCCTTTTGGTAGTAATACAGCACTAAGAGTAAGGAGGGTCCCGCCCTTTCCCTGGACTCCTGGCGGCCCTACAACTGCCAGCTTGGCTCTATGTCAGCAAATGGGTCCAAGAAGCATTCACTGACATGTAGAAGAGTTTCCTTTTTAAAGCAGGGAAAAGTGTTCCAATGGGAAGGGGAACAAAGGAAGGGGGAAAGGAAAAAGAGAAAGGAGAATAGAAGGAGTAAAGTAGAAACAAAGCTTTTGTAGGTGGGAAGGTGTAATGGTTGATACATTGTGTCAAGTTGAGAAGTTGAGAAGTTTAAGCAGCTCAGCAGGGGGCCAGGGTCCTCACTTTGTAAACAACCTGAGCCTGTGCAGAAGGAGAGCACCAAGATGGTGTGAGTGCTACACCCACCCTACTGGAGGAAGCCTGCTTACAATCTAAGGGAGGAAAAGAGGCTCCATGCCTTTTGTTCTTGCTCCTTTTGCTCCTGCTGCTTTTGCTGTCTTCCGTGGCCTTGAACTGTTGCCCTGTGCCATGTGCCACCCTGCCTTGGAGCCAGCCAAGTATGGACTGAAACCCCCACAAACTGTGAGCTAAATAAACCTTTCCTTCCTTCATTTTGGGTATCAGGTATTTTGTCTCAGCAACGAGAGAAAAATAACTAAGACAGAAGGGGAAGAAGTATTGAAAGGAGCAGAGGGGAATGGGGAAAAAAGAAGAATCAAGATATATTATGTACAGGTACACATTCCCTATGATTAATGTGATCATTATGTATATCAAAAGTATAACAATAAAATTAATTAAAAATTCATTAATGTAAGAGATACATTTTTAGGTGGCTCCTCCTGGAGGGATTTAGAGTAGATTATTGACCAGCGTGTTAGAGAAGTGATGCAACTGATACCATTACCTTTTTAAAAGCATCATGAAATACAAAAACTTTGGCATGTACAAGTATAGCTGTTCCTGCAGAATAGCATCTACTATTTTCTGGACGACATATTCCAGTTCCAGAATTGGCAACAGAGTAGGGCTACTAGAAGATAAACAAAAATAAATAAATTAATAAAGTAACATAAATAAATAATTTATTATTTATAAAATAAAGTAAAGCATAAATTAATACAAATAATTCTATAAATAAAGTTCTATAAAAATAAACAATTTATTATTTATAAAATAAATAAAGTAAAACATAAATTAATAAGTTAATAAAAATAATTCCATCAAACAAGGATAAAAGGATTGAAAGACAGCATCAATTATTTTTTCACCTTCCAGATTTTATGTACTCTTCATATTTACTCCCTGGTAACCACATAACCAGAATCTGAACTGGAAAATGATGATTCTAATTAATATGGTGATGTTATGATAAACAGCAGTGTAAAGTCATATTCAACAAATAGCCTAAGGTTTTAAAGCAGCTCACTGAAAACAAACTCCTTGCTGTCTCCATGGATGCAGAACTAGGGACCTGTGCCTCCTGTGGACAAGATGTATCTCTCTCCTTCCAGCCTCATCCCAAAGGTAATGGTATTAGGAGGCAGGGTCTTTGCAAAGTCTTCAGGTCGTGAGAGTGGAGCTCTTGTGAATGGTTATTAGTGCCCTTACAAGAAAAGCCATGAAAGAGACATTCTACTCTCATTCCCACTCCCAAAGCCACGGGAGGGTACAAGAATGAGAAGGCACTGGGGCTGGGGATTTAGCTCAGTGGCAAAAGCGCCTGCCTGGCGTGAGTTCGGTTCCCGGTACCGGAGAAAAACCAAAAAAAAAAAAACCCAACAAAACAATGAGAAGGCACAATATGCAAACCAAAAAGGGGCTCTTATTGGACTTTGGATCTTAGACTTCTAGCCTCTAGAACTGTGAGAAAGAATTTTCCATTGTTTAAGCCACCTGCTATATGGTGTTCTGTTATAGCAGCCCAAACAGACTAAATTTTTCTTTAATAATTTCCAGTCTTGCTGGAATCAGGAAACAGGGTTGAATAGGGTTGGGTGGCAGAAAGGATCTGTGGCCAGGACAACCCAAAGATGAATAAGCAGGTCCAGGGCCACATGGCAACTGCCAATTGGACACTGCCTTAATAAACCATTTCCATTCCACTCATGCAAAGAAGCAATTCTGAAACCATTTTAGAGTTAGGGTGAATGCTGGAGAAATGTACTCTAAAGAATTTTTAAGAACAGAACAAAATCAGAGAGCTAACCAATCATTTTAACAATATGATATTTTTGAAACCAAAAGACATACGTACCCAGTAGCACAGCCCTCAAACATTCCAGTTTTTATAAAAAATGGACACACAATTGTGGTTTTGATCCCCTTTAGTTTTTGGGCAAGTATTTCTATGAACATAGATTCAGCAAATCCATTGGCTGCAAATTTACTTGCACAATAATCTGCAAGAGAAATAACACTAATGTACACAGACATAGGTTCTTTCTTGCATTGTGCCACCCTGTGCTTTGCAGATGCTGAAATTTATACCAACTGAATGCTGAGAGAAGCTCACAGAATAAAGTCATTCTGATGGTTCCAGGTGGAAACGAGGACTCTGTTAGGAACTGGACTACACACCATTCATGCTGGATTCTGGCAAAGAACTGGTCTACATTTTGTCCATGCGTTGAGACTTTGTAAGTTGAAGGCGGTGAACTGCTATGTCAAATGCATGAAATTTCAAGGCAGCACAACATTAAGGCTACTATAGGGGGACTGCTTGAGTTTTAAGCCAGATTTACCGTGAGAAGTGGAAGCAAACAGCAATGTAGAAAGATCTGGAATTTGGCCAAAAAGGAACACCTTCAAAATTGTGCTAAAGGAGCAGTGGCTGCTAAGGAGATTAGTGCACTGAGAGGAAGCCAAGCCTGGGCGCAGTGGAGCAAGCCTGCAATCCGAGCTACTTGGGAAGTTGAATCTGGAGGACTGTAAGTTAGAATACAGCCTGGGCAACTTTGCAAGTCCCTATCTAAAAAAAAAAAAAGTTATAATACCTTGGATCTGATCACCTGTACTACCTAAAAAAAAAAAAAAAAGTAGAGTGCTTTGCACCAGGACAATAGGAAAGATGCCCCCAAGGGTATCTCAGGAATCAACAAGATGTCACCTATCACAAGTTCAAACACTTTTGTTTGAGGAGAGAGCCCTGGGGTGCCCTGTTCTAACCAGGGAAATTAGAGAACTGTTTTCTCTGGATTTATTTTGCCCAGGGTCAGCCATCCAGGTACTCAGAGACAGCTGCAATCATGGGCCCAGGTACAGCTTGGGGCAGCAGCAGACTGTGGCAAAGGCCCATGCAATCTTTGTTTTGCTGGCATGCAGAATGAAAGAGGTAGGGGGTCAGAAAGGGTTCCGAAATTTCAAAGGAAAGCCTTGGCAGCCAGACAGCTTGTGGCAAGAGCAAACTACTTGTAAATGGCCCCTGACAGGGTGATGTGCGAAGCTGTGACAGCGAAGCCAAAGCTGCAACAGAAGTGAAAGTTGCCAGCCACATGGAATGTCTGCTGCGGGAAGCTGCAGGCAGTGAGCAGAGCTACCCAAGAGAGGCTACAGGGTCACGCAGGGGTGCTCGAGCCTTTAGTAGCCCATGTTTTCCCACTTGTATGCCTTTGGATTTAATGTTGGAGCTCCTGAGTCTTAGTCTTGCTTTGGTCTGACTCCTTGCTATTGTTCAATCTTCCCTTTTGGAACAGGAATATTTGTCCTGTGCTACTATATCTTGGAAGTATGTAACTTGTTTTTTGATTTTTACAGAGGATATAGCTAAAAGTTTGCTTTGAGTCTCAGGAGAAACTTTGGACTTGGACTTGTGAGCAATGCTGGTGCTGTTAAGACTTGGGGAACTTGTGGAGATGGAGCAAGTGCGTTTTTCATTGTGAGACGTACATGAGCTTCTAGAGGCCCAGGGCAGAATGTTATGGGTTAGCTCTCAAGTGTCCTCCAAAGGCCCCTGTGCTGAAGACTTGGTTTCCTGCTTGCAGTACTGGAAGGTGGTGGAAGCTGTAAGAGGTGCGGCCTAGTCAGGTGTGGTGGCACATGTCTGTAGTCCCAGCTACCCGGACTAGCTGAGGCAAAAAGACCTCAAGTTCAAGAACAGCCCATGTAACTGAGTGAGACTCTGTCTCAAAATTTTATAAAAGGGATGGGGGTATAGTTCAGTAGAGTGCTTGTCCGGTACATGCAAGGCCTGGGTTTCCTTCTCATCATCAAACCAAATATACAAACAAAAATACAAAAACAAAAGGTGAGGCCTAGTGGGAGGAAGTTAAGTCGTTGTGGGTATGATTTAAAGGATCTATTCAAATGTTGGCACCTTCTTTCTCTCTCTCTGTGCTTCCTGTCCAAAGTCGTTGAAAATGAATTGCCTGCTGCCCCCGTGAGATGCCGACTTCTACGGATCTTTTAACAAAGGGCTTCCTGGCATCAACTTCCGCTTCTCAAATACTTTAAAATACGGAGATAAAACTTTAGGGTAAGGCAGGACGCCCGTGGCACCATTGTGGTAACAGTGCCAGGTGAATTTAGTCACTGTGCACAAAAGAATATTACACGAAGTCGGACTGTGCCCTTTGGAATCATTAGGTCTTATGTAATCTGGGAAAATGCACATTCCAAGTTCACGTGAGGATAACCGACAGGCAGTTCTGTAGCACCATGAAGTTGCCATCCCCTTGTATCGTTGACTGTACTTCTTGGCTTATTATTCTCTGTTATTAGAACATCGAGTCAATGCTGACTGTTCAGAGCGACAGTAAGTTAGGGTTATTAGGAGTTCTTCAGTGGTAAAACACTACATTTCTCTTACCTGCCAGCCCATTGACTCCAACCAATCCAGCTGAACTTGAAATGCAAACCAAGTGTCCATGGTTATTAGCAATCATGGCAGGTAGAAAGGCTTTATAAGTCTGATAAGAGTAAAGAAAAATTTTTAACATTAAATGGCACATTGTATTCTTCTGTCTCAGCTGTTCACATTTAAGTCTTTTAGCTCATAAAAAGTACCCAAAGTCAATGCGCTGGGAACATAGCTCAGTAGAGTGCTTGCCTAGCATGCACAAAGTCCAGGTTTTAATCACCAGCAGCATACACATATGTACAGGTACATGTGCACACTCTCACACACACACAATATAAAGAGTAAGGGGACAGCATCTCAGAATGCCAGAATAACTTTATATCAATTAGAAGAAAAATAATTACCCATAAATGTGCTTTAAAATTCACATCAAATGACTTTTCCATAAGCTCATCTGGGCAGTCCAGGAACTTTTTGCCTGTTACAATTCCAGCATTGTTGATTAGGATGGAAACATCTCCAACTTCTTTTTTAACCTAAGTTGAAAAACAAGAATGATATCACCATGGTAATATTTCCTTATATGATGTAGATTTTATTCTCCTATGGTTATAGATATTATATTATTTTATAGAATAAAAAATATTTTGTTTTGCAGAGTCTGAGCTACTAGAGATCCAGTTCTGATGCTATTTTCTTTCCACAGTTAAGACTGTTTTTATACTCTGACTGGTAACTTTGTTCTATGCTCTGTATTAGTAGCAGACCATTTTAATCAGTGCGATGATACATAAGAACAGCTTTCTTATAACCAAAATGAGGTTTTGGTCAAGATCTACCACACCCAGAGATGGGGCAGAGTAGGGAACAAATGCAGGAAGAAGATAAAACATATAAGCTTAAGATCTATGAGCCATGTTTCTTGCTGCAATACTGGCTGGTGTGCGTGTTTAATCACTTCTACTTAGGAAATAAAAATTCTAGGTAGAACATTAGCCTCTCCTTCTATTGAAACTTCAGAGTATAATCTCAGCTCCTATGTGAGAAGTGGACACAGACTTTTCCAGGATTAATGAAGGTTGTTCTTGGTTGTGTCTGAATTTCATGACTATAATTTAGATCATACAGCAGTGGCCCTGATGCATAGGTCTCCTGGGCCTTACAGGAGGCTGACAGCAGCACCGCTGCATATGTGTGTGCATGTGTGTGTGTATGTGCTTTTGCCACTGTGGATGGTATAATGTGTTGGTGCAGTATGGCACAGGGCAGCCTGTGTCACTGAGGCCAGGAGAAGCTGCCATTGTCTCATGTGCTGTTTTGTAAAGTCTAGGTCCCAGCATCAGGGTACTGTGTTTTGGGCACTTACACTAGCCAACTGACTCGGTAGGTTAGGAAACATTTACGATGGGGTAGACACTAAGGGAACCTTATGTATTCTGCTAGAGTTTTCATATAAAAGCACCAGAAACAATCTGCAGGTTTGATTTGTGGGTGGCTAAAATATTTTACCAAATCCAACTTGAACAGCAGTCAAAGGTACAGACAACATTTTTCTGCTATACCTGAGGCAAAAGCAAAAGTCAGAAAGAGACTTAGGCTGGAAGACAGTACCAGTATTAGAGGCTGATGTCCTAACTCAGGATCAGGGATGGAAAAGCCAGAGCTTATACCACAGAGAAAGAGATGGGCTCATGTACTCTACTTCATTATTGCTGAGAAATACTAACACAGCAAAACGCTCGTGCTTGGAATGAGAATAAGCTTACTGGTACTATGCTTGTTTTATAAGGCCCAGAGGTCATATTCAAGGGAAAACACAATGAATTCTAGTTTTGGAGGTTTGTTTTTTTTTTTTGCACTCACTATTCTCTTTAGCATAAGAGTGAGGCAACAGTGTGTTTAATTCTGTACTCTTGCAAAACTCACCTGTGAGCTATGCCCCCCTTTTAGCTTGCTCATCCCATGAATGCTCACACTACAAAAACAAAAACCTGCTGGGAGGCCCGTAAGCTGCTCTGTGTGTCAGAGTCTAATTGTAAATGGTCAAGGTGACTGATGTGAATTTTCCAAGCATGAAGTTTTACGACCACAACTGATAGTGATAGTGGCAGTAGGGAAAGTTCTGCTTCTACCGGTGATCACATGGCCCACAATCATGGATGTCAGAATTCAGTAATCAATTTTGTAGAAATTTTCACACAAATAAATTCAAGATCTTAGACTCTTATCTTTTGGGCGGGGAACTAGTGACGGTAACAATGCAATTGGAAGTACGCTAGGTCAAAGTGATTTTGATTCACACAGCCTATGAATCAATCCTTAAATTCAGGGCACTGCCACATGTCACAAGGATTAGCGACAGCTTCTTACCTCCAGCTTGTTCTTATGTTTATTGCTCAAAATAACCTCTGACCCAGTGCCATGGGGCAATGCCAGCTTTCTCAACTCAAGACCAAGCTATGGTTAATGGCAATAGGCTCTCAGAGTTCTCAGATCCTCAGCAGAGATAACACCGGTGTACTACCCTGAAAATTCTCTCCTGATCACTCTCTTCAGGGATACTTCCGCATTAGTGTTATTACGGTTTGATCTAAAAATGTCCTCCAAAGGCTCATTTTTTCCGAAGCGGGGCTTTTCTGTATAGGAACGGGTTGTATCAGGAAGGCACCAACCTCAGCAGTGGATCTGCCTGTTTATAAATGCATGGCTGAATGGGCCATGGGGACTTGGGGCCCGGGGAAGGAGGCTCCCGGGGCATGCTTCTGAGGGACACAGCTTTTCTCGCTCTCCTCCGCTCTTTTTGTCTGCTTCCTGACTGCCGTCAGATTAACCGCTTTCTCTGCCATGCCGTTCTGACCTAGACGTCAGGCCACAGACTGGAACATGGGAAGCCACGAGCTAAGACCAACCTTTTCTCCTTTATGTCCACTAATTCCCACCCCTGAACAATATACTTTAGATCGAAGGAGCATTACAGACAGGCAAGTGGGTTTTGAGAAAGACAAATGAACAACAAAACTGGTGTGATATACGATGCCTCATCGACGGGACATACGCCAAAGTCTCACTGCCCCTCAGCATGGTGAGTCCTCAAGACTTACCTGATCAGCCACTCGGTAGACCTCCTCCTTTCGACTGCAGTCACAGGTGTAGGCGTACACCCTCGAGGCGCCAGCTTCCTGGGCCATCCGGCGCGTCTCCTCATTTGCCTCGGTATTGACATCCCAGAGAACCAGCACAGACCCCAGGCGGACAAACTGCAAGGCTAGGAGCCTCCCCAGTCCACTCCCAGAGCCTGTTATGAGGACAATTTCACCAGCAACACTCTTCCGTGGCTTTGGAATGACAGTAAAAGTCAGAGCCACCAGAATACTAAAAAGTGATTTTCCTAAGAAAACAAGGAATTTCTTTGACTTCAGGTAGGAAGACATGTTCTGGCTGACACCTAAAAAGCAAAATAACTGCTTAGTATGTGGAGCTCCACTTTTTGAAGTTGTGAAAGTAACCGAGCCTGATTTAAACACTGTTCCTGGTAAAAGCTTCTGAACTCCAAAAGGGGCAGGGGTACGAAGACCCCCGGCAGCCTCCAGCAATATTCCTTCCATTAGGAAATCCACACCAGGTGACCCAGCCAGGCCACCTTGCCCCCTTTTAGGCATACCACTGTTTGAGTCACTGCCAGAGGACAGAGGTCTACTCCGTGGTCACGCGTGTCATCCTGACCCGGCTGCCACAAGAACTCACAATGGCAGGGCATTCTAGACTTCAGGGTGCTCAGCTGGACGCCACCATGCTGTGGGACCTAGAACAGACCTGTGGTTTATCCATGTCAGCAGATGCTCCCCAGCGCCTCGAGCTGAGCAGCAGGAAGCCGCCTCCGTGGGAGGTTCGGGGTGTTCGCTGTTCCCCTCCATACACACTGATGTCTAGAGACTGCACTAGAAACCTTCATCTCTCACTGACCTTCTTCGCAACTTTGGTAAAAATTACCTCATCTTTTGTGCCCTAGCTTCTTTCTCTACGAAGGGGGAACCCTAACAGTTTATGCCAACACTTACCGCACAGGGAGCTGAAGGAGCAAAAGAGAACACGGGTGACATATCAAAGCGCATTGTTAGGTCATTACTGGTCTACATGAATCCCCTGAACAGGTCGGGGTGTGCGATTGGCTTGGCCCTGCACACAGCGGTCCCCCAGGCGTACGCCGGGAGCGGAGGGGGACTGGCTGTATTTCAGCGCCACCAGCTTGCACATCGTCCTGCCCTCCACTCCCCGGTCTCTGTAAGGTGGCATAACCATAAAGGAGATGCCTTGCTAGGACAGTGCCAAGCACCTAATGACAGCAAAATCACTACTCTCTAGAACTCTGGTGGCTGTCCTCGCTGGCAACAGCAAATTCTGCTGGCTCTACTAACGAAGGTCGGGCATAGTCAGTCCTGCAGACAAAAGGGTCCATTTCCATCTTAGGTAAGGAGGCTTTCTTAGGAAGGTACCCCTGTCTTAAGTCTGATCAGGCGGCAGGGTGAGCAGGCACGGATGCCCAGCCAGGGGCGGGTGGGACGGTGCGGGCCGGCGGACTCCCAGCCGCAGCCTCCGCTGGAGCGGGCGGGCAGGTGGCAAAGGGCGCAGGAGGTGCCAGCGCTCACAGCAGGGAGCGGGGGCTGGGTAAAACAGGAGAGGCCAGCAGGGCGGGAGGGCGGCCGGCGGCCCTGTGTGCGCGTGTGTGCGCGCGTGTGTGCGCGTGTGCACGTGCGTGCGTGTGAGTGCGCTCGTGTGCGCACGTGAGTGCACGCGCCCCAGGGGCTGCCCCGCGGCGGGAGCGGGGCTCGGGGG